AATTTACTTTTACTTTTTTTACTTCATATACATATATAGTAAACAATTCTTTTTAGCTTTCTCATTTTTACTTGATGTTGTATGAAAGCGTATGTTATGAAATTAGATTTCCATTTTGGAAATTTAATAGAATAGACATGCATGCATTCGCATCATGTTTGTGGCAAGTTGCCATAAATTTGTTGTTCGTATTACCATAGATTAAGTATGGACAGATGTGTAACTTCAGTAAAAAAGTTGTCCCATGGTTGCCATCTTCCTAGCAAGTGTCGCTCGCGTGATAATTCGTCATTTGGTAATACGTCTTGCTTTCAAAAATGCTTTCAACACCTTTTGAACAACTTTAATTGCTTTCAACAACTTTAACATTCAACACTTAATTAATCCAAAATTTCGATCCGAAAAGGCCGCAATAAAGTGCAAAAGTTCGTGTTTTTCAGGACCCCATTTTGCTAGCAAGTGGCATGGCGTGAGCATGACGTGTACATCTAGGGAAATTTGAGGACACGAAGTCCTATGAAGTTACACATCTGGTATATTCTTAATCTGTGGTATTATGTTTATTATTACCCAACATCCAGAATCAGATTTTTATTTTTAGACTTTGTTACCAGGAAAATTAATCTATTTAAGACTGATGCCAATTTTAATATTTTTTATAGATGCTTTCGAAATGTTTTGCTGTAACGCAAGATCTGATGTCAAAACGAGTGATATCCTCCGGTCACGATGTCAGTGATGGTGGCTTGATAACTACACTGCTGGAAATGGCGTTCTCCGGAAATTGTGGAATTTCAATAGACATTAAATCTAGCGAAATAGTGCGACCTAACGAAGATGTCAATATGGCGCTGTATCTCCTGTTTGGCGAGGAACTTGGTATTGTTCTGGAAGTTTTGGATGAGAATGTCAACACAGTTTGTCAAGCGTACACGGAGGCAGGTCTGATCTGTAATAAGATTGGTTATACAGGCATACCTGGTCAAGAGGGAATCATTAAAGTTTCTGTTAATGATGGTGTTGTTCTGAAAGATAAAATGACGTCACTACGGGATGTTTGGGAAGCAACAAGTTTTCAACTGGCAAGATTACAGTCAAATCCGAAATGTGTGGTGGTCGAAGAATCCAATCTCAGTACCAGGAAAGCACCTCCCTATAGTTTGTCCTTCACACCTTCCAAGACATCTCTAAGGTACGGGTGTATGTAGGCAGCTGCGACGTAACATGAATCCCTCTATTTTCTATGTTTTTTATCGATGTTTTGATTTTCGGTGATTTGCAACGAGATACATGAACACAAAATTCAAATTTACATATGTTCATTGTTTAGTTTAGTTTAGTTTAGTTTAGTTTAGTTTAGTTTAGTTGGTACAAGACATATACATACAATAGAATGCAATACAATTCAACGGCAAGAAATGGGTATGGGACTATGTAGTCCCAATGGACGACTTGCGCTTTAGAAAAATTTTTAATCTGGGAATAACAAAGGATATTTTCGGAAAGAAGTTATCAAGATTAGAAAAACTGGAAAGTTTGGTTGCGAAATGTTGTAAGATACGGAAAATATAGCCCTGCGAAGTTGGCAAATTTGTATACATTTCTATTACGTGCGGAAATTGGTAACTAATTTAGTTACCAATTCACGCACGTAATACAAAAGTATACAAATTTGCCAACTTTGAAGGGCTATATTTTCCGTATTTCACAACATTTCGCAACCAAACTTTGTAATATTACTAATTCCAAGACGCTCTTTCTAGCTGTGGTGATATATTTCGTTGTTCTTACTTAGATTAAAATTTAGTCTGAAGCGCAAGTCGTCCATTGCCATCCAATCCTTTGCAATGATTGGGTACAATTATTGGTATCGTTACACAATAGAGACTCGTTACAACTAGCCTTCAACCATTGGAATTTAGGAGAGAAATATCTGACCTGTTGCTGATGTACAAGTCTAGAAATTAATATGTTTCGATTTCAACAAGGAAAAACTGTTCAGATGGCAGACTGCTCACTCAAACTCAGATGGCAGACTGTTCCGAAGTCTGGCAGATCTAATAAAGTAAGAGTTACAGAAATAGTCCTGTTTACGCTTAATAATAAGGTCATTACGAGTCTGATAAGGTGATACAACAGTGTTGTATACAACAATGTTGTTTATATCAGAAGCTATAAGCGCACTTCTAGACTTGTACATCAGCAACAGGTCAGATATTTTTCTCCTAAATTCCAATGGTTGAAGGTTAGTTTTAAAGAGTCTCTATTGTGTAACGATACTCTATTGTGTAACAGTAGCCGGTGGTTGCACATATTTGCACAGTATCTGCACGTGTGCTACTACTATAGCTATGTCATATTCCAAAGAATCTATGACTATTTAATTCTTACTATTATTGTTAAGTTATGATTTGTTCACATTTTTCTTCGCCTTTATGAACTCTCTGACGGGGGACGTCTTTGCTCGAAACAAAATCGGAGATTTCCTTTTGTGTGCACGTATGAAATTACTTATACGCAGGGATATTTTCAAGCACTTTTCGACTACCGGTATACGGTAATAAATACTCAATCTTCAATTGAGTTTTGAAACTCAATCTTCCTCCACAATGATTTTTTTTTCACAATTTGATTTTTTTAATGTAAATGTTCCATTGAAAAACTGTTTTTCTATACAATTTTGTTCAAAAAGCTGTCGAAAACTGTTTCACTTCTGAGACACAAAATCTCGTAGAGGAATACTCATGCCCATGCACACTAGAAATGTGTACCACAAACGGGGCCGCACATTACGGGGGGTGTTAAGGAGTGTGGCACCCCCATAATTTTGAGAAATAGTAAAAAAAGTCTGTCCCAAATGAACCATTTGTCGGTCCCGATCGTCCGGTGCAAACATTACGCAAAATTATTGTTTCCGTGAGATTTATTCTTTGGACAGTGTCCAAAAAATAATAAGTAAGGTTACAGAATTGTTAATTGCCATTATACACTGCCCGAATCAACTTCCTTTCTGTGCTCTACAGCCAGCTGATCGCCACACTGAAGTCTGAAAATGCCATTTCCGACGATCTAGAGACTTCAAAGTTTCAAAAAATTTTCCGCTCGGCGCCAACCATGGTGGCGCCACGTGTAACTCCCACTTCCAAAATGTAAACTGTCACGTAAAAGTCGGTCCCGAAGTATTTTACACCTCTCCTAAATATTTTGGAATGTGCACCCCTGACACAAAATAT